TTCCCACTGACTTATAATTATAGAAGTGCTTAATTTCATCATTGATTTATTTTTATTGGTAATGAATATTAGTACTATAGCTGAAAGTATCTCTTTCTTGTATGTCAAGTAGTTAATGACCTGTAAATGAACTCGTAAGTGTGCTAGGGAAGTCCATTATTTAAGGTAATTATTTAGCACAGCAATGAACGTTTGGTTATGCAAATTACTGACATTAAATTATAAATTTGTAAGTATCTAGTTTTATGTTTCATTTGGGGTCCTCAAAATGACCTTCCACTCCTGGTACTGTTAACTTAAAAATGAAAATATATACTTCAGGGGTGATGGAGAAAGATGTTACCACGTCAAGGGATTCCTACATTTTCCTGCAGGCGAGCTGCAACTGAAGCCCAGGATGATAATGATGATGATGATGATAGCCTTGGCTTGTCATGTCCCTGAAATCCCTCATGGGTATATTTAGGTTTATGAATATAGTATGTGGCAATTAGAAGATATATCAAAGATCTACAGCTAAAGCTGCCATTTTATTTGAAGACCACCTTTATCAGATAGACACCAATCATTTTATGTGTGGGAGGGTGTGCCTACCCAAGTGCCAGGCATTTATTAGGTCCTGGAAATACTCTGTACATGGTGGCATGGAGGAAGGGTGGTCAAGGGAAAAGAAGCAATCAAACCGATAAACCTTTTCAACGCTGTATGCTAAGTGAGTCATATATTGGTAAAAGATTTAGAAGGACCATCTGGCCTGGACTGGGAATAGAAAGGTTGAGAGTCAAGAGAAGTCTCAGCAGATTATGTGGGGTGGGGCAGAAAAGAAGAGCACGTGAGGAAAGGCGGGAAGCAATGATAATTTTCAGAACTGCCAAGAATTTAGCGGGGTTCCAATGCGGAGTGTGAGGTGGTGGTGAGAAATGAAGCTGGGGGAGGGAAGAGAGAGAAGCATGCGTAAAAGGTTTGGTGAGAAGTTTTCACTGAATGAGACACTGGGAGACACTGAAGGAATTTTAAGCAAGGGAGTTACAAAACTGGATCGGCATTTTAGAGAGATCACCTTAGCTCCAGCATTAGGAAAGGGTGGAGAGTTGGGAAGGAGGTAAAGCCAAGCGTAGCCTACTTAGCAGGACCAAAGCATAGCAAGAAGGTCCTATGTGTGTCAGCTCTTTAATTGCTGCACCTGGGCAAAGTGGGACTGGAAGTAGTATTTATTTACTAACATATAGAGGTATTCAGTATTTTACCAAACCTAAGTTGACACCATGTGCAGCTGAATCTGTTTCTGGCTGAGGGTACTAGACTCAGCCAAGGAGAGTTATCTGAAGAGTATTACTACAATCCACATAAATGTTAACAAACGAAGTCATAGGAGAAACCAAGATCACTGAACCCACTCAAGACACTCAACAAGAAAAATTAACAGGGCTTGGCTATTGACTGAATGATGGGGATTAGGCGAAAGGGAGAGACATAGACTTATCTCCTGGCCTGGGCACACAGTTAGATGATGTGGTCATTCAATGATTCACTGATAAAAGTGCAAGAGAAGTAGAATGGAGGAGGGTGGGAACACTGTATAGAGTCTGTTGGGGTATCCTCGAAACATTCAGGAAGAGATGTTTGTTTAGAGATCTTTGATCATACAATTTTGAAGCTCAGGGAGAGATACGAACAAGTGTTGCAGATTTAAGAGTCACCAGACTAGAGGTGGGAGCTGGTACCATTCATAGGGGTTGTGTCTTCCAAATGGAATGTAAAGAGTAAGAAGCCATCATCCTGAGTGGTGAGTTCTAAGTGTTTCACAGGATACAGTGTATTGTATACACACACATACACAATTTCATACATCTTGGAAATGATAAATTGCGTTAAAACAGACATGAGATTTACTGCGCTACTGAAACCATTCTCTTATACAGTAAGTTCCCTACATATAAACTTTCATGTTGTAAACTTCCAAAGATGCAAACATGGATTTGTATGTCCAATTGTGTTAGTTCACGTGTCTGGCATACATTGTCACATGCATGCATCCTCTATAAGTGGTTGTGCTTCTGTGCACTTTACTGTACGGTACTGTATAGAGTGCAGTGTTTGTTTTTATTTATACACTATTTGTGTGAAAATATTATAAACCTTTTACATGACCATACTGTAGTTGATTGTGTTAGTTGGCTAACCGAGGTGAACTTTATTGGACTTATGAACAAATTGGACTTACGAACATGCTCTTGGAATGGAACTTGTTCACATGTAGAAGACTTACTGTAAGTCTCAATATTTGGCTAAGTCTAGTTTTACAGGTGGAGGGAAGATTTGTTCTTTAACATGTCCCCATGTGGTTCAGAATATCCCTTCTCTACGATTCCCCTTCACTTCTTAGTGTATAGACAGCATAGCCAGGCCATTTGTGTTGAGTCAGTCCTTCTCTGAATACGAAAAAGTATAGGAGAATCTTAACTGATTTTCAACAGAAAGTCAAGGGAAAAATTATTCTCAATTCATATAGTTATCAACTGGGTCTCTTGTTTCCTAATTTACAGCATTTACTCAAAGTTTCACTCAATGTCTCGTATTTCCATTCTTTTTCTTAGTTCTTCTCTAGGTCTTCATTCTGGTCAGAATTACTACAACAGGTATCCAAAATTTCTTCTTGTTTTCTGCCTCTCTCAGAAACTCTTTCTTCATATAGCTGCCAGCATGCTTCCAAAACCTCTCTTTCATGATGTCACTCACCCAAGAGCTGACAATGATTTTTCCTTTGCCAGTTACATCCAGTGTAGACTTCTTTCCTTCCAGATTCTCTAGACTAATGTCACACCTATCCTATGCAATGGTATTTCAGGTTTCCCTGAGAACAGTTCTTCAGAGCAATGAGTTTTGTCTCTTCGTTGACTCTTCCCACTTGTCTCCTGTGTTTCTTACCTTTGCTACCTATCTTGTCAATCTGAGATCTCAGCAGTACTAAACCTGGTTTATTAGAAACCTCACAGATGAGACTCAGAAACCTGATGCTAGGTTTGGAAGATAGTGGCCTCTTATGGCAAGAGATTTAACTTCTCATTCATAAGAAACACGGATACCCACTAAGATATTTCATAAAGTTATTTTGATGAAAATAAGATAATCTATGTGGAAGTGTTTTCTAAATTACAAAATACTATATAAAATAAATTGATCAAAACCTTCTCATCTAAAATTGGTTTTAAATTATGGTTTTTAAACTATGTATATGTTTGTTATCTCTGAAAATGTTAGTCTTCTTAAATACAAGTCACTGCTGCTTGAAATAATTAAAAAGAGAAACTCAAAAGTTGGGAGCAGAAATAAATATTCAACAAATTCTCATTAATTCTCAACACTGGCCTTCCAATAAAGCAGCCTGTGTAACTTTTTAAAAACAAAGGTGCTTTTATCAGACTTTTAATGATCAATGGTCATTAAAAGACAGGGATTGGGAAAGGCAAATTAAGCTAAACTAAGACACAGAACTATAGTCTGGGCAGTTTTGATGAGGGGGAAGACAGATAAGTGTCAAAGGGAAGAGGATATCATCAGGAATTTGAAAAAAAATCAACAAAACTAAATGTTTTGTTTGTATTATCAACATATAAACTTTCAAGTTGCAAACTTCCAAAGATGCAAACATGGATTTGTATGACCAATTTTGTTTGTATTGTGTTTTGTTTGTATTGTCAACAACAAAGCATAAGTGTTTTGATTTCAATTAATCTAGAAATACTTCTTAAGTGTCTAGAATGTATCTTGTCAATAGAAGAGCTAGATAAGTATTAGATTTTGCATTAGGACTATGAAAGGCGTCTGGTGAATAAATAAATGGAAATTAATAATATGCTACTCAAGCTGGGCTCAATGGCTCAGCCTGTAGTCCCGCGCCTTTGGGAGGCTGAGGTGAGTGAATTGCCTGAGCCTGCGGGTTCGAGACCCACCTGGGCAACTTGGCGAGACCTCATCTCCACAATAAATCAAAAAATCAGCCGGGTGTGGTAGCACATGCCTGTAATTCCGGCTACTTGGAAGGCTGAGGCGGAAGGATCGCCAGAGCCCAGCAGGTCGAGGCTGTGGTGGCCGGGAGCGGCCACTGCACTCCAGTATGGGGCGACAGAGTGAGACTCCAACTCAAAAAAAAAAAAAAAAAGCTACTCATTAGTACTAATTTAAGAACTCAAAATATTGGGAGTGCAGTTTTCATTTCAATTAATGTAATGATTTGTTTTTTCCCGTTTTGCTGGCATTTGCTTTTTTCCCAGCATTGTTGGTTTTCTGCAATTTTAAAATGATTTCTAAACGTATTTGCCTTCTTATCACAAATAATTGAAGGTTCCTTAGGACAATACAAAATCTAATACTCTCTAATACTTCTACTGATTATCAAAAATGCATACTAGACTCTTACCAAATATTTCTAGAGTAATTGAAATAAAGTCTAATAATCAGAATTTTGCTATCTAAAGTTTCTCAAGTACAAAATGTGCCATGAAAAAAAAGCATTTTACTTACTATGAGAGTATTAATTTAGCTCCTTATAAATATTTACTATTAAATGGGTTTTTCAGGTTATTCTTATTTATGGACTAAGGCATTATTCAGTGAATACGATGTACTTTATGAGTGGTGTTTTAAAAATCAACTTCTAATTACTGTCAGGCATAAATGCTTAGAAAATTCAGGATAGTTAATTTGGAATGCTCCTTTTGATATTATGCCCAGCTGTTATAAATAGAACAAACAGAGAATATACAAGAATCTTTTGTTTCAATGCTATATTTCTTGACAGAATTTAAAATTAGAATGGCACTCATAAGACCAATTAAACCTATTGTAACTATATGGGGAATACTGGCAAGAGTCTCTATTCCCCTTATTTCAAAAATAAAAAGGGCAACCCTTCAAATACATAGTCCCCAGAAGCAAGATTCATCAAGAGGAGAATCTAAGGCCTACCCGGGTTTTCAAAATAGTGCCCACATATACCGTACTTGTTGAACAAATTCAGATTTATTGAAAGTAAACATTTACATTGGCTACAATGTTATAACTATTACAAAGCTGGATAAAAGAGGCTTAAGTAGCAGTAGAAAGCAAGAGCAATAAAAAATGAATAGAGAAAATATTTGGCCTTAGTGATCTCTTGGCAGTATTTACATTATGTACATACTGTTAAATATTTATAATAATTCTAAGGCACCAAAGGCTAAATAGCAGGTCGCAAAACTATTCTGAGCACAAAACCAAGAAATTTGTTGTAAAGAAGGCTGTATAATTAAAGAAACATAGGCATATCTTAATGTTTACATAAAGGAGTGGCTGCATGTTTTAATATCTCAAATGATACATTAAATATTGGGCAGATTGAGGAAATTATTTTTAGAACATTAAATTATATTGACTATGTAAATAAGCACTATTTTTTACTGACTTGCTGGTAAATGTGTAATGTAATCTATTCTTCAACACAGCTTTTTTCACACTCATGGATATGTTTTGTCTAAAAACTACTTGAAATTCTTTTGACCTACAAAAACTTATCCTAATATTTCATAATGTATACAAAACTCCCAAGAAAAAATGTACTGGGTGATAATATACATCAAATCTATATAATGTGACAAAAATTTAGTGGGCGTTAAATACCAAAATAATTGAATATTCAGTTTGCCATTCTGGCATAGTAGTTATTTTAATCCTTTAACTCTTTAGAATGGGCAATTATTTGTGGCTTTAGGTGAATGGACATAAAACTGGCCCATGTGGAAAACCAATCTCAAAATAAACTAATTATTTTCAAATTTTGCAACTTGAAACCCTTTTATATAACTCATTGGGTGTTAACTATGTTATTCATCACCAGTGGGTGAAATATTCATGTTACTGCATTGTCTAGAACTGACAATAGCTATGTCCAGCATGGTCTTACTGATGAATTATTTGATGACATCTATTTGTAAAATGTGATTTGTTTCTTCCATTGGAAACCCAATTAACCTTACAAACAGTCTATCATTTGTCTTGAGGTAGTATTATAATAAAGAATTCAGCAAGACAATAGAACATCATAACATTTTAAAAATGTGCTTCAAATGCCACCAAAAAATCTGTATTTACTTAGATGGTGGATGGTTCAAAGTTGAATGTCCCTTCATGACATATTACTCTCCGATGAAGTCATTGAGACTCTTTAACAAAGATAATGAGTTTTTCCTTAAAACTTTCTGAATCCCTATGCCCTAAGGCAAGTTGTAGTTTAAAAAGTAGTTTTATTACACAAATACTAAAATTCTTTCAATTACTTAAAGATTCATAGACTTACATATTAGAGACATTCTTTTTTTTTAGTAAAAGGGAGAAAAATTGAGGAATTTCTTCTCTAAACTCATATTTTTCAATAAGAAATATTCAGAGCATTAACAATGGCTTGGGTTGGTATCTTATATTACTTAGTACTTGACAGTAACTTTAAAAATGTGGCACTCTTAAAATTAAATTTTAAATTGAAAAACCAACATCAAATCCAACATTTAATTGAGATTTACTGAGCAACAGATATAAAAGTCATTCCAACATACTGCACTTGAAGGTAAAAAAAAAAAAAAATGCTTCAAATAATCCATTCTATAACACTAGATTATTTGAATATTATTACTTTTCCCTTACCAAATGTTTAATCATTTTCTTCTCTTTTTTTATACAGTGGAAGAGGAAAGGTTATTCATAACAAAATGTTTACAAAATCAGTAATGCAGGAAATAAAGCTAATAAAGATTTTCTTCCTCTACTTAAAAAATGAAAATAATTGCCTTTGTTCAGTGGGTTAAATATCTAGTAGCAATAGCTACATAATTAATATAACTATTACAAAGTATCAATGAACAGATTTCAAAGAATTATAATAACACAATACAATATCAAATGTTTGGAATCATCAAATAAGTAAATAGGTAATATTTTAATGGGTGACTGAATCAAAGCATGATAACAATGTTAAGATCTCTAAATTTTAAGCACCTGCTTGGAGGAAGCATGACATACATTTACTAATGGCATTAATTAAAATTAGATTCTTTAGAAATACAGATAAGCATCATCAGTATATATAGTATCCTCAATTTCAAAAAGTTCACTTAAAAGATAAGATTAATTCTTCTTAGAATATTTGCTTATAAACGTTCTGACTACAATTTCTGGAAACAAAATCTGCCATTCTGCATTGTGATACAACACAATTATCATAGGAAGACATCTTATTTTATTATCATAAAAGATGCTTATTGCTCTGTTATATTTAGTATGCATTAAACTATCAATTGTTTTTCTTCCTCAGATAGGTGAATGTTTTTATTCTTAAGTTGCCAGTTTTTATAATGCCAGTTTTCCCTTCCCTACACAGTCCCTCAATTCCTACAGGTTACCCTTCCAGTTCAGCCTCTAACACTATATTCCTTACAGATCACTCAACTGTTAAATAAGCCAGGATAGAGTAAGCCAGTGGCTTTTAAATTATGCTTGAGGCACTCTACAGAACCTTTTCGAGGTACCTCAGTGGTCCTAGTGGCCAAACGTGTGGGGTTCTAAGATCCCCACTCCCAAATCCTGGTATTATATCTTTATATTTATGTCATGTATAGAATGACCCACAAAATTAATTTAAAGAATAATTTTATGTTTAAAATGGTTTTTGAAACATAAAGCAATTTGGGAGACTGGCGAGGTCTTAATAGGAAAAAGCAAGTGGTCCTCATGTCCTACACCAAATCTTCAAACAAGCAGTCACAAAACACTAAATAGGACATATATCTTGGCCTTACCGTGACAATATTATCCCTCAGTCTGGCCCTGAATTGAGAGGTACTAGTCAAAACAGATCAAAGTTTTAAACAAATGCCACCAAAATGATTAATATCCCAACCACTTCAAGCTATTTTAGCAGAAATAAGTGGCATATCAATTATTTATAATATAATAAAACAAATTATTAGTGAATACTTCCTAAACTGCAACTCTTAACAATGTATATGACCTTTTCCTCACCTTTTATGCCAGACAAAGGAATAAACATAGAAGTTATCACATTATACTTGCAAATGACTATACATTTTTATTTTTTCTTTCTACATAAAATTAAAATCAGATACAAGCTTCAATTCAGGGTTTGAATAGAGTGGCAGACTCACTAATTAAACTGCTTTCATGAATGGCCTTATTCCAAAGACATCAAGTGGGAAAATAAACAGTCAATTAAAACTTGAAATGAGTAAGAACTCTAGGACTCAAAGATACAGAAATGATTTTGATGAGCATATGACTCTTGAAAAGGAAATGCTGAGAGCTGGTGTTGTTATCTATAAACTTATTTGTGTTCTTTTAATATAAAAGAAGCTTCAAAGTTTGTGTACTTTCTCAATATGAAAAAAAAATAAGCAGAGGTATTAGATGAACAAATATAAAAATGCTGGTGTGGTATAAATAAATTTTCAAAATGTTCCATTGAGTAAATAAAAATATATATTGTTTCTTTAAATTCTGAGGCTTTTCTTTTAAACATATACTCATTTGAATGTAGATTCAGTCTACCAGGGGCATTTATGTTCCCCGAATTATGACTTTTAGATAGGATTTTAAAAGAGTTGAATTTCTTTAGACAAACAGAAAAACTGTCTGCAAATATTTTCAATGAATGAATAGTGGTAAATTTGACTCATATCTTGGTTTATGTCCAAATTTACTGCTTACTAAATATTATCTTCTTTTCATTAAATGAAGATAGAATTTTGAAGCTATGCCATCTCTGTTGTCAAAATACATATGTGTGAATATACACAAATATATTCACAACCACACATTTTGATGCAAGAATCTATAGATATTTATGTTACATACTTTTGGGCAAAGCACTGCTTCTAAAACCTAATTGCCTTTGTATAAGAAAAAAGTAGGAGAATGGAGAACATCCCTCCCAAAACATTAGAATGCTCATACCACTTATTATATAGCACATCAGAATGTGCAAACATAGTATACTTATTGCAAAGTATCTGATAGATTTAGACGCCATTATAAAATGTTCTCAATTCTATTTTGGTAACCTAAAATGTCGGTATATAATACCAAATGTCCAATTGAAGACTTTAATATAAAAATATCAGCACAAAACTATTTTTTCAATCTGTTTATTATGTGAGCAACCCCAACTTCAGTTTAAGTGCTATTGTAATTTTATTACTAGATTCCATAACCCTACAATTGATAAATTATATACCACTTTAGGTATTTAATGAGATACTTAGAAATACTAAGAAAACAAATCAGTATTCAAAGGATTAATTTTGTTTATAATAACAATAAATTATTTTATAATCTTCTTCAGTTCAAAATCCAGCTTTGAACCCGAGGAAGGCTTTCAAATCATGTTAATTAAATGGAGGTCCTTTAACCAGTAGCAGTTTGATTACCAATTACTCGGAGGATCTCTTTGTGAATGCCTCCTTCTTGTGTATTAATATTTGCATCTCCCACTTGGCCATCTTCATAGCTAAAATACAAAACACAAAAACATAAAAGCATTAAAAACGATAACAGTATTTAAAACAGTGTAGAAATGCTATTTGATACCTAAAATATAGCCCAAGAAAATCAAAGGCAAAGAATATCGTTATTTTTCAGTTGAATTTAATACGTTCTCATTACTAAACCCAGAACATTCCATTATTCTACATCATAAGCCTTAATTAGCTTTCCTTCCATCTTATTTTAAATGTATTTATCTCCACATAAAGCACTGCCCGAGTTGCAAGAAGCTCCTCAGCGTCTTTGGCCTTGCTCGCACTTCCCACAGCAGTTTCTATGAAACCTACTATGAAAAAATATAATAGCCTCAACTCTATGTTCCTTAGTTTCTGGACTTCTTAACTCCACTCCTACCTCAATCTTTTTTTTTATATTCTAACTGGTGGCATTCACTTCATTTTCTATCACTGTTTCTTTGCTACATCATTCTTCTTTAAAAAAAGATGTGGGGTACATTCAGGGCTAGGTATACAAATGGTCATTGTACAGGTAAAGTTTGGGCCTCACTTTGGTTCCCACTTCACCTGTTTTGAGATCAGGTACCCTTATTGATGAGGTGCAACCAACACCAGCAGATCCCCACTACTGCCAATCCCTTTCTTGCAATATTATGATAATTGGTCAAGGGTCCGCTTATGAGTGATAACATGTGGTACTCAGTTCTTTGTTTCTGCAACAGATGCTGCATCAGTCTTCTAATGATTATTTGGCCATAATCAGTGATGTGCTCTTTTCTTATTGCTGTTTGCATGTTTTAGTCTCCCTGAAACATATTCTTATGTATGCTGATATTTCTCATAAGAATGCAAGCCTGCTAAAATTTAGCTTAGCAGGAGAAGCGAAAATACGTTAAAAAACAGCAATTAATAAATTCTTTAGAAAGAAATAATTACATTTTAGATAAAAACTCATTTTCTCAAATAAACTTATTTGGGCAATATGAATTTCCCAAGAATGAATTTTCAAGCTTTCATGATCACATTTAGAGGGGATCGGTGATGAATTAATTTTACTTCATAAAAATGACTTCAAGACAGAAGCTTTAGAGAAGTGTTTACTCAAAAACAGATAACCACAGGTGTAAGCACAGCATTTCAAGGGTTAATCCTAGCTACTATCTTTTCCTGAAAAAGCACAATACAGGAATATGAAACAGATGACATATAGCAATGAGAACTTAGTTCCTTACACAATCAATCCATTACTTAAACACCAAGTGATAATTACATTTGTACCAAGTCAACTTTTAACTAAAGGATCTGTCAATTTGGCTAATTCTTACCATACAAGTTTGTTCTAGATATACTCAGCAAACCTCAATTTACATATGTGTGTGTGTGTGTGTGTGTGTGTGTCACACACACACACACACACACACACACACACACACACACACACATATATGAAACCACATGGTGAAACATTATGCTAAGGGGCAAAATGGGATATGCAGCACACAGCCCAATTACAAATATTGTCTCAGGAGCTCAAACAGTAAGTGGTGTGCTACTAAGATTAATTCTCAGTCTCTCCCACTGTATCCTCTCCCTTTCCTCTCACTTCAATGATGGTTTTATACATGATTCATTCTTCAGTTTTCCCTCTTCTCATGAGAGGCAAACTCAATTATTTCTGCCTCTTCTACATGTTAACTGCTGCCCACATGCTGATTCCTAAAACTCTATCTTCCATCTTTCCCTAACTACAACTCTTCCACAAATAGCACAAATGCAGTGTATTCAAAACGCAACTTAATTTTTGAACCTAGAATTGCTCCTTTTTATTCTCTCCATATCTCATTATGAAGCACTCTCATTTAACACCACGAAAACCTTAGTTATTCTTGGCTCCTTCCTATGAATCACAAAGTTATCTTGCTTCCATTTTCTTAATTCTGTCTACCTGATGCCATTACCCTTGTTTAGGCCTTTATTATTGTTCATTTAAATGAGTGGTTTTCAAGTTACAGGCTACGTATAACAGTAGGTTTTGAAGATAACTTAGGTTATCCAGACTAGCATTTTAAACAGCATGAACAGAATAAAGAATATTGATTTTACTACAAACAAAACAACAACAACATTGTTTTGTTCCTAAATCACTATGTCAAACACATTTCTTTTTGTGGAGAGAAAAACTGACCTAGGCTGTGGTAATAACATTATAACACTTATCCCCATCATCCCTCCTTCAAGACCTATTCTCCACCCTGCTAAAGTGATATAAAATGGCCTCCATCTCACTTGCAGGACAAAATCCATTGCCACTGGCAATACCAGGTCCTTCATCATCCAAACCCAAACTTCCTCTCCATTCATATCCTGTCACTCCTCCTCACTCTTACATGTGCACTGACACTTAAAAGCCATTAAGAGCAGAGAAGAGATGAGATTCACATTATCTGAATAAACTATAATAAATTCAGACAGCCTGTAAACCCAGCACTTTGAGAGCCTGAGGTGAGAGGACTGCCTGAGCTCAGAGGTTCGAGACCGGCCTGGGCAACCTGGTGAGTCCTTGTCTTCAATAAATCAAAAAACAAGCCGGGAGTGGTAGCATGCGCCTGTAGTTGCAGTTACTTGGAAGGCTGAGGCGGAAGGATAGCCTGAGCTCAGCACGTTGAGACTGCAGTGGCTGTGAGCATGCCACTGTACTACAGCCTGGGCAACAGACTGAGACTCTGACTCAAAAAAAAAAAAAATTATTAAGACAGAAATAGTATGGGGAAGAAGAAAACAAAAGTGAGAGTGATAGCAACAATGAGAACCAGAGAGAGAAAGAGAGAGACACACAGAGAGAGAATGACAAAGGATGACATTACATTTCTTTATTTTTCCAAATATATGTAAATTTTTTTAGAAAACAATATAATTCTAATTCAAAAATTAGCTGGGCATGGTAGCGCATGCCTGTAATTCCGGCTACTTGGAAGGCTGAGATGGAAGGATCGCCAGAGCCCAGCAGGTCGAGGCTGCGGTGGCCGGGAGCGGCCACTGCACTCCAGTCTGGGCGACAGAGTGAGACTCCAACTCAAAAAAAAAAAAAGAAAAGAAAAGAAAAGAAAAGAAACTGGATTGGATTAAAAAAAAACATCGGTACATATACACAATGGAATATTATGCAGTCATAAAGAAGAACAAAATCATGAACTTCAAGCAACCTGGATGGACTTAGAGTCTATAATACTGAGCAATCTTTCACAGAAACAAAGAGCTGAGTATCAAATGTTCTCACTCATAAGCGGACTTTGAACAATTATCGTAATACTATAAGAAAAGGAATGGCAGTAGTGGGAAACTGCAGGGGGGGGGTAGGCGGGGAAAGCAGGATTGACAGTAGTGGGAATCTGCCTGAGGAATGGGGGGCACACCTCATCAACAGGGGCACCTGCATAATGAACATTTGTATACCTAACCCTGAATTGTACCCCACATCTTTAAAATTAAAAAAGGAAAAATGAAAGTATTAACAACCTTTATTCTCAAACTGATAGAAAATCTGTTTTGAGAGTTTTAATATTGGCACACATAAATTTGTTTCTGTCTCCCTAAATCTGAAATGCAGAAAGCGTATCATAGGTTGTTTGTTTTTTTTATAAGCAAGAGAAGAGAAATGTATTGTACACTAAATGATGTCTACTCCATATCCTAAGTTCCTATAAGAAATCTTTTGCTATAAAGACATTGTGTATTTCACTGTTCCATACATAACCTCGTCATTAAATTAGACCGTTGGGTCTTTTGTCATTGTTTCATTCAATGTATATCAAGTGCTTCTGCATAAACCTTTATGTGAGGTTCCCATATAGGGAGAAGATAAAGTTATGTAAGTAACTGCAGGACAGGGCAGCCTGAGAGGCACAAACACATGGTGAACAAAATTCAGAATGATCCCAGATACCATTTCTGACTGGAAGGTCAGGGAAGGTGCCATAGAAAAAAACATGTTTGAGTTAACCTTGAATAATAGTCTAAATATCTAGCTGGGTAGAAAGCCAGATCACTTGGACTGATTAGCAAAAGCACAATGGGAAATACAATTCTAAGTTATTTTCAAGAAACCTCTTGGACAGTAATTTCATGTCATCAGTGGTTTGTACATGTAATTGAAGTAAAGTAGAACGGGCTCTATGTTTTGTTTTTTGTTTGTTTGTTTTTGTTTTTGTTTTGAGTTGGAGTCTCACTGTCGCCCAGACTGGAGTGCAGTGGCTGCTCCCAGCCACTGCAGCCTCAACCTGCTGGACTCCGGAGATTCTTCCCCCTCAGCCTTCCCAGTAGCCAAAATTACAGGCATGCACTACCACACCCAGCTGATTTTTTGATTTATTGTAGAGATGAGGTCTCGCTGCCCAGGCAAGTCTCGAACCCGTGGGCTCAGGCAATCCACTCACCTCAGCCTCCCAAAGGCGCGGGATTATAGGCTGAGTCACTGAACCTGGCTACTATGTTTTTATTTATTAACTGTCAATCTGTATGAGCAATGAGTAATCAAAACATTGCTTTAGGGAAATTAATATGGTATAAATAGTATGATCTTGGAATTTTATATGCATGGAAAGGTAGGCCATATACCAAAAGATTAATCAGCTAACTGTAAATGGGGATAATGTGGGTAATTTTCTTCTCTTTAATTTCGAGATATTGAACAGGCATGTATATCACTAGTATAATAATGGTAATGTTTAATAAGTTTGGTATTGTACAAAATAGGTTAAGAGAGATGAAGAAATTATAAGCAGGGAGAATTAGTAACTTTCTGATGTACTCTGGGGGAGAGAATAATATATCCCCGGAAATAAAAGTATTATTGGAAGAATATTGTGAAAAGGTGAGCTTGGGAACTGATGAATATGGTGAGCAAGAAAAAATAAATTGTAAACTACAGCATAGGTTTCAAGTCTCCCTGATATATAAAATTACTGCATAGTTGAGAAGTTGGTTAGGGAATTTAAATAAAGGGTTCCGATTTGTATATTGATTTTAAGGTATTAGCAGGCTTTTTGAGGGCAAATACTCATCGAACAGTTTGACATCTTCCAGTTCTTTTGAAAAGAGCTTCCTTATTTCCACATATGGGACTTAATGTCCTTGTACACATGTATTTCAAGGTTAGTAATACAATTAAGCTTTACTAACAGTTTCTAAACACTAGAAATTGGCTGGGTCTGCTCATAACATCTGAACTATTAAATTATGCCTGAAGCATTTATATTTAATTAAGTTTTTTCATTTTGGAATTTTCCAAGAAAATTTTTTCAAATTTATTATTCTCTTCTTCTTTTTCCCTAAGTGATATTCTCCTTTAAATTTACTTACTATTTTTCTGATATACTCCCAATTTTTCTCTCATTCTGTTTGCTTGTGTATTGGAAAGAATGTGATTAACTATATGACTGTTTTATTATCTCAATTCTGGGAATCAGAGTAGCCTAAAGTTATTTTAATTTTTAATACTAATAATAGATTTTTTAAAAAAGGAAACCACATTAACTTATATCCTAGTCATCAGGCATAGACAGATTTTAATACCCAGGATCACATAATCATTTAAAAAATTAAACTAAAGAGAATAGAAATTGAATAGAAATTGTCTCATCTTTATACTTATCAATTTATTCTTTTCCTCCATGTTACCATGCATAAAGGAGGCGCACCACTAGTAAAACTCTGTGATTCTATCTTTTATAATGAAACAAAATGACGGCAGTAGTTAGAATGTACATTAATTAGTGAATGGATTCTTCCTTTTATGTGTTTTGAATTTTATTAATTTTCCTGAATGAGTCTCTTCTCTCCTGAGGGTGCGGAGAAAAAGGATGAAAACTCATTTGTGCTTATGAAGCAATGAAATTATTATCCTAATATAATTTTTCCTTGTATTATTTGGAAAGTATCTGTGTTCTCTTTTTCTTCTTATAATCTCTCCTCTATTTTTTTCTTATGAAATTTTTTCTCCAGGAAACATATCTTCCACACACATATATCCCTACAGATGTTTCGTGTATAACTTAAGTAATATCTCTAAAGAAATAATATTAGAAATGGCACTGTGTATTTAAATATCTAAGGCTGTTATGATCTCAGGGGTCCCCGACTTCTGGGCCACAGACCAGTACTATTCCGAGGTTTGTTAGGAACAGAGCTGCACAGCAGGAGGTGAGCGCTGGGTGAGCTTGCTTCCTGTCAGATCAGCGGGGGTCACCCATTATTTTATTTACATCTCCATCCGTGCCTCTTTTTTTTAATGGTGAGCTATATAATTATTTTATTATAAATTATAATATCCTAATAGAAATAATACATTTTATGTTTGAATCATCTTGAAGCGACCTCCACTCCCAACCCACCTCCGTAGAAAAACTGTCTTCCATAAAACTGGTCCTTGATGCCAAAAAAGTGGGGGCTTCTGATTTAACTCAATGAATGGACTCTAGAGTTACTTGTATGTCAAAATATCAAGGTTGCTCAATGAAATAGCGTTGAGATTGGAGGTTTGTTTTTTCTTTTTGCAGAAGGTCGAACTTTAACAGTGGATAACAAGATAGTCAAAGAAGAGGGAAAAATATTTAATAAGTCTTTCAGTGGAGACCTGCAATGTGCCATATAAATCCTCCTTAAAAGGCCGTGTACAGATAGCTTCCCTAGAAGCCTCCAGGTCCTCTGGGAGCCCTGTCTGCCTTCAATCGGCCCCAGGAGTCTGATCTGTAAGGACTCCCACAGTAAGCTCCATAGCCTTCTAGCTTCTGGCAGGGTTTGGCCGATGGGGCATCTTAGCAGGACAGCTTCTGATCTGTGTATTTTTGTACGTGGGAATGCACAATAGCTCTTAGGTTAACAGATTCAGTTTACCACACCAGACCTGTGGTTTCCCATATCCGCACTTTTGTCAGTAATCTAATCATTGATGATAAAAATTTCACGTTTTTTACTGGTCATCTGTTTCCTGTTAGGATTCTGACTGACACAGGTAGGTATATTATTCTCATTTTACTGATGAGTCTTAGAGAGGTTATGCAACTTGGTCAATGTCACCTTACTAATTACCATTCAGCCAGGATTCATCCTGTCCAATCAAAAGCAACGCTTTTTCCACTTACTGCTGCCTCACTGTTAAGAAGTCTATAGCCAGTAAATAAGTATCATAAGAAAGTCACAGTTTTCAAACCATCTAAAGGAGAAACCAGGCAGTCCATAGAATTTTCACTGTAAATATTCTGTCAGTAAGCCAACAGATCAAATGCTAAACACAGAGTACTATGGATATACGGTATGCTGAAGCAATCTCGATGCAGACATTTTGACATGACTTATAAAACAAGCAGTTCAGATATCAGCTCCTTTTTATATAAAATATAGAACAGAAACACTCAACTCTTCTCTGAAATCCTTTCACAGGTAAGGTGAGAGCAGCATGGGGAAAGGGTGGGGTGGGCTACTGCACACATTGTTTAGGAATGAAAAACAATGCTTTTATATTTTAACACAGCCCTTATGATACAGCTGTGCCCCCAAAAAACCCCCTCAAAACCCACATCAACATGAACTGCATTGCCAGCACATATTATATGGAATGTAAATCAGTCTTTTATAGAACAGATAAAAGGTGTATTATTGTATACTTCATCATAGTTCTCAAATTTATTAATAAAGTATGTGTGTGTACATATGTGTATACACATGTATACACAAATCTTCACATACATACACACAGAAGGTTAAAAGACGAAGAGAATGCTTCTTTTCAGTTCTAAGTTTTAACAGCTAGTTTGCTTCAGTTCTTCTAAGTTAATAGCATTTAGTCACCAGTTTTTTTTTTTTTTGTCTTACTAAAAATAAAACAAAAACTTTAGTTGATGACTTAATTACCTGTTTGTTAAATTTTGAGAGCTAAAGTGACAAAACAATAATGCAGTCACTACTACCCCATTTGTAGAGAAGGGTAAAACATATATATCTGAGTGTTTACACTTACACAAAAAAGAATCGCGTGCAGACATGGTCAGTATTGGGGACAACCCATATCTCTCCATGTTTGTGCAGGTCAGGTGAAGTGATCACTGTAAATGGAAGGCAAAATTAAATAACTATTTTATTCTGAAGGATTCTTAGTACATTCCAAGTTACTATATGCCTTCTCTTTGAAATCTAAAAGCAAAAATACATGCACATAAATGAACAAACATATGACAACTGTTTAATCTTATTAACTATCAAGAAATATAAATGAAAACAATGAAAAGCCATATAACAACTTCATAATCTAAGTAACAATTGGTATATCACAGAAAGGAAATCACCTGAGTATTATCAAAAGCAGTTTATGACTTAAGAACTTTGCAGATGACAACTTCGTGTACTATGTACCTATCATATGTTGAAAACTTAAGACAGTTGGACAGTAGCTACTAAAATGCCTAACACAAGATGAATTTTAGGCAACATCACACTTTAATGCAAGAACAAAGAAAAGCATATGATCTTGCAAATCATCTATCAGTTTTTCTGTCCTAAATTCAGAATGAAAGAATAATTTCAGTGGAGGAACAGAGGGACCTAGTGGATTATCATCTCAGTGCTTGGTTCATCTTTCGGATTTTTCACAGTATTATATATTTAAATACCAACTTAAAAAGGAAGAGAGCACATTAACGAAAGAGATAAGCAGTACTAGATCAAAAGATATAATTATCATTCTGAAATATCTACCAGGAACAAAACATATCACTGTCTGAATTCTTGCCAATTTTGTAATTTGGATTCAACCTTTATGATCTCCATTGTACCTGTTTTTAATTTGTGTCCTTTGAGATGGTCATAAGAAATAATGCTTTCACTATTCTACCATTAAGAGTTCTATGAATTTATGTGTATCCTTAAATGCAGATAAGATAGGAACTAACACTATGAGGTTTGTAAAACTTTCAACTTACCTTCACATAAGGCTATGCATTTTAAGTTACGGCTTTGCAGGAATTGAGATTGCTGTCCTTTTTTCTGTGACTAAATTCCAAAAGAATTTAAAAATTAGAGTAAAAATGGGCAGTTTAGCAGAAAAAATTGTGTATTATTACAAACCAAGTTAATAAAATGGCTGAGAAAAAAAGCCTATCTAGTCTCTCATCAATATCCTTACACTCTCTTAATACCAAACATCATATTGTGTATCACTTAATTTCTGTACATAATCATTATTATTCTTCAGATGAGTGAACTAAAAGACACTAAATTAGAACCCAACAGTCTCACAAGATATATTTAGAACTCAAATTTATGTTACTGGAAGCCTGGCCTCTTTATTTCAAGGTAAGCAAAATTAAATTTGCATGATCTTTTCAAACATCAAAATCAATTATTCCAGATCACCTAACTATCCAAAACCAACTCTTTTTTATAGCATCATTTACTAAGCCACAGAGGTTTTATAAACATCTCATGCAGAAAATCTAAAATTTTTTTAGATATTAGATTAGCTATATTATTTTTTAAAAATTTAATGTCACATTATTCATCAGATAGATTTTTAATTTGCCCAGATTATACTTGTTTTCTCTAAAACAACGTGAGATTTTTGGTCATTCTTCTCTCTTCCTGGAATGTTCCTCCTTCCAGTTTGCCACATGGGTCATACACTCACCATTTATAGGTCTTTACTCAAAATTCACTCAAAATTCATTTACTCAAAATTACCATCCCACTGAATATTCGTGGGATATTCTTCCATCCTATAGAATTAATTTTCTCTGATTTATTTTTCTCCAAAAATATCTACCACCATCTAACCTTCTTGCTATCTAAATATATATTTAATTTGTTTCTATTGCCTCAGTAGAATGAAGGCTCCAAGAGGACTACTATATCTTCTATTTTTGGTCATCGTTGTACCTAATACTTCAGCATATCTGGTATTACAGCAGGAGATAAATAAATATCTGCTGAATAATTATAGTGTAGCAGCAACTAGGTGCTGCCTTTTAGAATGAGTTATATTTCTTTACGAGTAAGGACCACATAAAATAATGCTGCAACTTAAAAAGTCTGCATATTTATTGAAGTCCTGTCCCATAGGCTAATGAGGTCATAGTTCACTAATCATAAGCAGTCATTTGAATCACTACAATACCTGTGATGCATTGCTGCTTTTACTGCTTGAAGCTGGTTCATCCTTGGCCGACACCTTCTGTTTCTTGTTCATCCCTGAAAACGTCAGTAAAATAATAATTTTGGAACAAAACTATCTGATGCAGCTCAAGGTACAATCCATCTACTGTGCAAATTTCCAATGTAGGCACAGTTTTACATCAGAACAAAGATGGTCACAATGGACTCTATCCTCATTACCTGAGGCAGAAGGTCAGAGAGTTCTGCAAATGCTGGGCAACTTAGGAAGTAGAAATCTCAAAATGTTTTTCTTTGCATTGAGAACAGAGATAGGTAATTCTTTTGCATAAAACTAATATAATTTTAAAATTATTAAAACTTGGTTTTAAAAGACTTTTGGAACCTAAATGTCATTCTTTCTCTCTGGTAAGAAGGAGTAGATAATGGATGGGGAAAATGAACAATGTCAGAAAAATATAATTAAACTGCAACTTTGTGAATTGTTCAAATATATTTAATTCAGTGTAGAATTTACCAGTTCTTCTTATTAAGAAAAAATATATAAGACCCTTTGTCTCAATATTCACAAGTCTTAGCTTACTCTATAAATGCCATGATTTCTCATAGTGAAAAGTTTAGAGGATTAGAATGAAAATATACATCTGTTGTGGAATGGGTAGATTTGCATCATTAGAAAGTGCTCATCCATCACTCAAGGATAACTATGCTAACCACTCAGTGATGATTCTCTCTACATTTTCAACGCTCCAAGCTCCCCCTCAGCACATTTTCCATTTATCCCAAAATATGTTTCTCACAATCTCACTAAAATATTGACAAGAACAAGCAGAATAATTCTGACGGTGTTTTTCTACTCCTAATTTTTCCATAGTCTTCAAAACTTATTTATGAATAATATAATAATTCAAAGATAAGAAGTTAGCATGATATAGGATTATACAGAATGAATATATATGTATACTTCTCTGTGCCCCACATAAGGCTTCAAACATATTATACTATAGTATTTATTTGTGGAAAGAATAAATACGAATATAATAAAATATATATATTTTAAGTTGACAAAACATACATTCATCTTATACACTAGGGGAAGTATTATAAATTCATCCTGACATTTGAGCTTTGTTTTTGCCCCTGACATTTATCTATCAAGCGAAATTAATAAAAATATATCTAATAAGCATCAGACACTCAATAGAAAATTGTGCCTAGAGTATTCACCAATAAAAATACAAAGCTGAAATAAATTTGAAGTTAGAAATGAAAGAAAGGATTACCTGAGTAACCAAATGATATGCTTGACATTGGACTAAGATAGATTCCACTTCCATACATTGCACCATGGAGCTAAAATGGGGAAAGGTGAGAGACAGAGCAATCAGACTTAAATGTTAATATTTGTCAAAAGAAGGAAATCAGTCTCATGTCAGAACATTAAGTCTTAGAAAAAAAGATACAGCCTCTATTCCAAGGTCTCATTTGAAAACAGTATTAATATCCTTCAAATTCAAAGTGAGTGCTTAAAATTCAGAGCGAGTTTATATATGAAAAATGATAGCCAGAGGAAAAAGAATCTTTTTTTAACTTTTTTTTTGAGTTGGAGTCTCACTCTGTCGCCCAGACTGGAGTGCAGTGG